CCCCAAAACCCCAAAACCCCAAAACCCCAAAACCCCATTACTTTGGGATCATTTTGATTTGAGAAATCATTTGAGAATTTAATAAATTATTAATATATCATTGCAATAAAATGGAATTTACAGATTTCAGAGAGCTCAAGAAACTCATGGCAGAGAACAGTGTCAATGAGTTTGAGTTCGAAACTTCTAATGAGGCTGAGAGTTACGATAAAAATATGATACTTTCCTTTGCAAATTGAGATAAATATGGGGGTAAAGGGGGTGGGACTTATGAAACCTACAAAAACTCTGCCATTCAGCAGAGTCATAATAAGAGAGATAGGAATATGAGCGATGATACAGATCCTAAAAGTAAAGGCAGTAGTGGTATCGATTCAAGCAGTGGAAGTAGCAGCAGCTCATCAGAAGATGGTTCAGATGTTGATGAATATAATTATATGGTAATTTCAGTATTAGATTATCAATTAATTTGTAGCCAGGTGTGAAAATTGATGCAATAGAGGAAGATGATGATGAAGATCTAGATGATGAGGATGATAAGGATGATTAGCTTAGATAAAAAACTGGCAAGAAAAGTACTCTAAAAGAATCTGAGATTTAAGAATCATAAGCTGATTTAGTTAGCAACACAGAGGACATGATGAGTTGTAAGTGTTCTTCATGAAATTAAGAAAAAATCCTATAGAAATGAATAGAGAAGATGAGGAAGAAACTAAGTAAGTTAGACAGGGTACGGTTAAATAAGTCAATGACTAAGTAAATGGATAAGCTAACAGAAAAAGTTCGTATCAAATTCAATTTGAAAATAAGCAAGGCTAGGAAAAATTTAAAAAGGAAGTCATGGATGAATATAAGAAAGATAAAGTACTAACATTTCGAGATATGAGTCATCTCAGTTATTTCGGGATGAAGAAAAACTAAAATACAGATTAACTTTCTTATGTCACTGATTTCAACTCCGACAACAAAGTTTAAGTATAAAGTCATAATCATACACCAAAAGATATAGCTTAAGAAATTATCGAAGATCTGCTGGATATAGTATTTGGAGATAATTAAAATGATGATACAGCTGGAAAAGGGTTCATCAATGATTAAGTTATAATGAATAATTTTGCTTCACTCAGGAAAAAGGTTTTTATTAAGGAAAAGGTGGATATCAAGCCAAAAACTTTCAAAAATAACAGACTTAACTAAACTGATTAAAGTAAAAACAATACTTTAACAACAAACTCAGCATTTGAGGAAAGTTTATAAGAAAAATCTCTGCTAACCACCATCATAGATAATAATAATGAGAATTCGCATGACTTTTTATTACCTACACCTTCTACTGGAGATTCAAAGGCCATTAGCATTAAAATATATCTGTTCACCACTCCTAAATTCATTCAAATCTATATTTACAGAAAAAGCTAAGTATAGGATGTCATAAGACATATCATGACAATGTATTCGAAAGACTAAATACTATCTAAAGATAACCCTTTGAAATATCATGGAGTTCCTGATGCTTATGAACTTCGTATAATAGATGACGATGAAGACTATTTTGTCCCATTTTATGATATTGGTCCTTTAGAGAGGAAGGATGAGATTGGTGAATTCGAGAGTCTTGCATTCCTTGAAAATAAGACATATATCAATCAAGCAAAGCAGAATAAGACCTAGCCTGATGAGTATTCACTGCAAGTTGAAGAGCAACTGAAAAAGGAAAATGTAAGATTAATTTTATTACCAAGATTAATCCATATTTTAGAAAAGACTTCTAGCTATTCAAATTAATACCGCAATCTTGAAATCTAATATGTCTATTGTAATGAATTAGGATGAAACATTGAGAGATTTGACGGATTAAATATCTAAGAGAGCTGGCGAAAATTTTCTCAACTAGAAACTTTTCGTTATTATTCCATGCTAGTTGTAAAGTTAGAACAAGAATTAATATTTGGCAACAATATCTTAATACGGTGGTCAAACTACAGCGTATTAAGAAAATATCTTCAACATTGCCCAGCAGAGTGGGAGATTTGACTACGATGCGAATCATCTAAATTAAAACACAATCATTAGAAATTTGAAAACAACAAATCTTATGCTGACTGATAGAATATATGTCGATAAACCTATAAATAAATAAAAAGAAGTTCCTATGCAGAAAAAGAAAGATATGGAAAGTACATTTAAAGAAAACAATGTGCTTTAGTTGTTAAAAAATACATCAACCAATACTTCCTAAAATACTACTAATTAATATGAAAATATGTCCCTAAGTAACTAATCTATAATTTAAAACCAAGAAGATAATTCTTATTAGACTTAGAGTATGATTTCACCAAATAAGTTTAGTAAGACTAATAAAAGTTAGATAGTCTAGCCAAGTTCATCGAATGAAAAAGAAAAATAAGAACATAGGCAAGAAGATGATTTCTTATTCGGGAGTATATCTGCAGCAAAGCATCAAGAATTTGTTGTCACTAAAATAAATAGAAGAGGAAAAAGACAGACTAGAGTGCTAGGAATAGATGGCTTTAATATCTATAACATTAGAAAAAGTTAAGCTAAAGCAGGACTTGGAGGCTAATCTGTTGATGTTACAATGCCAACTGAAAAGGAGAAGAAAAGAGGCTCATTCTTTAGTGGTTTCTTAGGGAAAAAGCTTCTTGGAGTTAAAAGAAAAGCTAGAGCAATCAATACCATAGATGAAATTATAAAAATCAACAATCAAACGATATCAATAGTATTTCTAGAGAAAAGTGGAACAAAAAAGGCTATTGTCTATGAATGCTTATCGGCTGATAATTGCTCGGAAATCATAGCAAAACTCAATTTCCTCAGAGTAAGATTATAAATAATTTTTATTTATCATTTCAGAAAAATCAAGAGAAGCCATTAACTTTAAAGAGGAATACCGTAGTATCTGCTATGAATTAGCATGCTAACAGTAATATAAGCGCTTCTGTCCAGCAACCATCGACAATGCTTGCCCAATCCAAATTCGCCTTTTGAGTATATTTTTTGTCAATCGATATATTTATAATATTCAATCTATCCTTAAAGATCTCAATCTCTTGGGGTTTTGGGGTTTTGGGGTTTTGGGG